ACATTCTTTCCATATCTCATATGGTGTTGTAGAGATTGACTTAGTGGGTACTTTATTTAATAAATATGTTGCAGTTTCCAAAGCATATTCCTATAAATGAATTAGAAGATCTGTAAACCCTATAATTGATATCACCATATCTAATAAAGTTCGATTTTTTCTTTCGAATGCACCATTGTGTTGTGGTGTTCCATGAGGGGGGTCCACTATGAGAGAATTCCATTCTTTTTGAGATATCTAGTAAAATCATCACTAAGAATATTAATTCTGCTAAAATACAAAAACTTCAAAATTAATAAAATAAAATTCTATCACAATCCTTGTCCTAAAAATATTAATTAAATAATCCTATGGATATTTTTATCCTAGAAATATTAATTAAATAATCCTAAGGGATAGATTTCTATTAAAATAATAGTAAATAAAAAAGCTTAAATATTACAGTTTTTATCCTATGTGAGTTTTCGATAAAAAGACAAAATATGTAAAAAAGAGTCCCAAATTTGGCCAAACAGCTATAAATTCATGCTTAGCATGCCCCATATGTAGAAGGCATGCCTACATACACGTTAGGCTGCAAGCATGCGTACTTATTGCGCGCACGCCCCGATTGCGATATTTCTCCTCACGTGCGACATACATGCGCCTTCACTTCCTGTGTGCAGGCGATTCTTCCTCATGAGCGACCTCCTCTATGCATGTGCATTCCTACTGCATGTGCTGCATATGCATGTAACCTGCTTCATACGTGTATACGACAGGTTGTTCCTCACATGTACATTGCCAGCATGCGGGTATGACTTAGGTTGCTCACCTCGCATATGGGTGCCTTTACTTGTGCACCCAATGGGCCTCCAAGCCCACGTGACAGCTTGGGTTTCTTCCCTTGGTGCCATATCTTTAGGTCGAGCCTCTTCTTCGTCATGAGTTGATGTCTTCTTGGTTTGGACAAGATTTGATCAATTCTTTTGAATAATCCCAATTATGAAAGTAGTTAAGAATGTTGTTATTTTTCTTTTAGGGTTGTTCTAGTTTAGGAAATAAAAAGAATTTAGAACTGCTTGCCTGTTTGGGATGGGCCTTTGCTTTGATTTTCAGGATGTCTCTTGGTTGGGCCATGCTCACATCAATCTGATGGGTGTCTATGCATTCCGTTCATATACTACTAGGCAGACCATGACAATATGATAGAAATGTTAACCATGATAGTGGAATAAATTAGTACTCTTTACGTTTAAATAATTTAACTCATGTTTTAACGTTATTGTCTCGAAGGAAGTGTATGAGGACCAAGTCAAGATTAATTAGTCCTTTGAAGAGTTCACCAATAATGACAAAAGTGGTTCCTAGAGAGGTCACGAAACAAAGGAATGTTTCCATGTAGGGTAAGGTCCAAAAGTACTTCGGTACCTAATAGATCATGATAACCCCTTTTTATCTTCCTTATCATTGCAAGAATTTATCTGTCTTGATAGTCCATATTCGAGGTTGATTTTTTTGAAAAAAGGAGGGGTGATGTGATCACAATAAAGCCAAGATGCTCTAAAAGAAAAAAATATCGCAAGATGATGGAATCCCGTAAGAATACAGCCTATGAACATGCACATGCATAGGATAAACATGTTGCGCACACACCTGTGGCACACGAGAGGCATGTCATGTGCACGCCAATAGGCGAACAAGGCTGCACACATATGCATACATAGACGAGGTTGCATACACGCGAGAGGAAGGGGATTTCCCGTGAGAAGAATGAATCCTTCTCCTAAAAGGATTCCTGCAAGGCAAAAACCAAAAAGACAAGTAATCATAGGTGTTTCTTGTTTCCTAAATTGAATCGTCTCAAAGAGAAAGATAGCCCCACCATTAAACAATTTCTTAAAGTAGAATCTCACCAAGAAAAGGCTAAAACAAGTCAAAAAGAAGGGTGCTTCAGGTCCATGAAGAACCTATAGGCTTGAGGGATTGCAAAACAAGAAAAAGGTCGATCTTGGCCCAAAAAAAGGCAAGCTCATGCCCATTCAGGTACATGTGAGCCCTTTTGCTCACATGTGCGAGCAAGTACATGTGTGAAAAGGGGAACTTGCACCTGCAGAACATTCCACATGTGGGGGATACCTCACCCAATTCCCTCTCTTACTCAAAATCATAAGTTGTCTTTTTGGCAATAAAAACTGCAGCAAGCAAGTTGAATAGAGATAAGAAGATAAGGATCAAGTGAAGTCGAGTCTTACATCAAGAAGGACCCATGGGAAAAACTAATTGGGGAAGATTCCTCTTACACCAAAGATCCTACCCGATAAGTTTTCTTCTTCTTTTTTCTCATCACATGTTTCATATTTTATCTATCTTCTAGTTGGAGTTCAATGCCAGTAAGGAGTTCTACAAAAAGATCAAAGTTAGTTGCATTAAAGAAGTTGAATCCGAGAAGAATACTCATTCGACTAAGAGAGAAAGAGAGAGTCCTATCCTAGTAATTTACCTAATTATTTTATTAAAGTTTTAGATTAGGATGAAGTATTTTAATATTAATTTAATGTTACCTTAATTTGTGTGCAAATTTCTAAATGTGGTTCAAGTAAGGAGGATTTTTTAAGAATTTTAAATTTTTTAGTGCTAATATTTATGTGGGGCTTTACAAGTGTCAAAACGATCCTAAACTCATGCTGCGTCATTTTGGCTTGTTCGTGCTCGCATCAGAGGAAGCTTGTTGAACACAAGTTTCGAATTCTGTGCATATCTATTGCAGAAGAAGATGCCTCGAGATTGTAGATTGCATAAAAAGATGGATGTTGCAGAGGACGAGAGTCGTTATAGACAACATGTTTCTAATGAGGTTTCTTTTTTACAAATTACAGAAGAAGATGAATATTACAAATTGCAAAAGTTCTACTAGGTCGAGAGAAAAGAGAGAGAAGATGGAGGATAGAAAGATGAAACGTGTTGTTGATAAGTATTTTTTTTTTTTTTAATCCATGTGGATGTTAGGTCAATGACAATGTGAAAGACAACATGTAGGTCTATATGGATGTCACATGGTATAGAGAAAAGTTTTAGAAGATGAATGTTGCAAATTGCAGAAAAACTAAAAAATATTGAAAATAACTTATATAGTAGAGAGTTTATTTAAATTCATTTTGAAAGCACGAAGGCTAATATAAAATGAGGGGAAAATTTTTTTTTTTTTAAAAAAAAAACGTATTTAAACATTTTTAAGCAGTAGAGGAAGTAATTATATACATAGGTCTAATAATAAAAGTTTAAATAAAAAATTTACAAATTTAATTTATACACGGTTAGTTTTGGAAAAGCTTGTGCACGTTCCTATTTTTAATTTTGAATAATCTAGTTAGAATCATTGGTAAGCCAAAACTTTTTAAAAAATCTAAGTTCATGTATGTGTTAGAAATAAAAGTAATATTATTTAACAAACTGTCAAAACACAAATATTAATTAAAATAAAATACATATATTGAATTATAAAAAAAAAAAAAAAAAAGAAATATCAAACTGAAACTGTACCCACCATTAAACAAATCATTCATATTTTAAATTAAAAACTATTACGTGGACCTCAAATGTTTATATATATAATTAATCTGGAATCACGGGAGCTAATTGAATTTAGCATTATTAATCAAATGTATTTAACTAATCCAGCCACTTGCCAATTAAACCACTTGTTTCTTTAGACAGTCCATGGTTTTCCCCACCATTTTCTCTTAAATTGTCTTCTTGCCAGAACAAGCACACACACATATATATATATAGACATAGACAGACATATCTTAATTTTTAATTCTATCATTATAATGCTGAAATTTGTTCCCTTTTTTAATCTTTCTAACAATCTTCTTATCCCACCTTAATTTGTCCTCTTGCGTGTACGTGCTTATATACGTTGTCTGTGTGCATACTAATTTTAATTCTGTCATTATCACTATCCTAATTGTAATTATCATTTCAAATTGCTTTATTAGTAGAATTTGTGGTTTTTTTTTTTTTTTTTTTTTTTTAATTTAACTTAACTAATAATGTTGATTATTCGGGTGCTGTCCAACAATTCCATTCTAGCTACATACAAATATTAACACATAATTAATTAATTAATTCATTCATTCATTAAGGTTAAGCAAAATTGACAAGTGGAGATAACCATTAAATTAAAAGTTAATACATACCTTAATATAGATTAACATAAATCTTAGGTACAAGTTATTTCAAACCAAGTCGGCAAATTGTGAGAAATTACCAGTCAATGTCTTTTCCAAGGAATAATACCCCCAACTTAATTTTATGTTTAAGCTTGATAAATCCCACGGTGCAACCTCTATACCAATCAATGTCTTCTTCTTACATTAAATAACTTTGGACTAGAAATCTTCCTCGAAAACCAATACTGAGTTGGGAGTTTTTAGTGCCTCTTTAGTTAAAACATGAGTAACCAAATTACAATATTTAGACTATGTTTAAAACTAACAATACATTTAAGAATGCAATCAACTAAATATGCTATAAAAAAAGACATTCACGAATGGAAGGAAAAGAAGGAGAAAAAAAAAATGAAGATAAGAAGAGTTTAGAATAAAATAAAATAAAAAGTACAAAATTTAGAGTCTCTACAAAATTTTAAAATACAAACTTTTATAAATTAACTTTTTACAAATTAAAATATTTCTAAACCATATTGATCACACATTTGAAATTCATTCTAATCACGTTAATATCTTACCGTAAAATAAATAATTACTTTCAGAAAAATATACAAGAATACAGTTTTTAAAACTTTTTCTCCAGTTATAAAACTTGCTTGACTACTAAAATCAATACATTAACTGTATTAAAGTAGAATTTCTCTTGCATCCTGGAAAGAAAAGCTACCTCTTGCTATATAACTAATCAAACCTTACTGAGTCCTATATTATCCATATCCAAACACATTTACTTGCAATCATAATCATGAAACCTTTTGGGCTGATGATGATGTTAACAAACAGAAATAATCAAAAGACAAAGCTAATCGTATGGTGAAATTTGGATATAATAGTTGAGTATAACCTGAGAATTTGATGTTTTACACTTGGAAAGATATCGGCATGTACGGAGAAAGAGTAGAAAACTGAATTGAGTGTCATGTCAACATAGTCTTAGCAAAGTTCTATTGTGAACTGGAGTAGTAGCAGTGGCACCATGCCTCACCAACCTTGACATATTATTCTTCATCTCCTTACACACCCTCTCCAACTCCACCACTCTCCATTGCATTCTTTGCAGATTCATCTTCATATCTTCACTCTCTTCTGAGAAACTCTCATCGGCTGCATTGATTCCGGTGATTGAGATGATCATGTCAGAATTATTACTCTTTCGTGGACTCTCATAAATATACTCAGTTGTTGATATTTTTGATTGTTGAGACTTTAGTGCCTCAACTGCAATATTTGGAGGGATTCTTGGATTCTTCGCCAGGTCTTTACAACTTTCCAGCGTCAGCTTCCCATAATTGAGGCATCTACATAATCTTGATCTCTCCTTGAATGACAGAGCCGGGTGGGACTACAAAATCAACAAACCATATATTTTAGTTCAATTTCATCAAATTTTTACAAACTGATCAAGTTCCAGGAAAATCAATATTCAACTATACCTTATAAATTGAATTGGATAAGAATACCTGGAGATGGAGAACTAATTTTCTTAGGAATTCCTATTACTCAAGTTAATGGTAAGATGTCAACTGAACCAGGAGAGAAAGTGGTTGAGTTGCATGTAACTGGATCCAAAAACTATTTACAGCATAACTTCAATGAAATTATATAGATCTTATCTGATTCCTGATCCACTAAGCTTGATTGGGTAATGATGTTCATGAGTTAGAAGAACCTCTGCTTTAAGAAATATATAGAATTCTAAGCCCCAGGAATTCTATGCAAATTTTCATCATAAATTTCTATATATCTGAAATAGCAATTACAGCCTTCTTTTTTCATGAAGAATGGCTTAGAAGGCCAGACCAGTAAATGCGCAAAAGACATTAATATCCCCACATGTGAAATGATCAAGAAAAGACCAGACAAGCTCCATAAGGACAAAAATGCTGTCTTTCTAGCATATATGCGGTAAATTAGACAATGAATGCATGATCATTCGTGAAGCATCAGATGGATAAACCAGAAGAATGGAGTCAATAGAAACTCCATCTAACTTTATCAACAAAGAGGTCTGAGGTCTTGTTTATTATCCTTTGCCTGTTTGGTTAATTTTCATAATCTCTATACTCATATACTGGGAACCATTGATAAGAAGAGGAAATAGGAAAGGATGTGGGGTTTTAACCTCAAGAAAGATATCAATGGCTCTGTAGACTCCATCAAAGCAATCTCTAGCTGAATCTGGTAAACTCTCTGCAACCCCAAGAAACTTGGAGATGTTCAAGTTGTGATCTGGAGATATTTCAGCCAAGTACTTATCTACAAGTCTGCCAACCATCTTCATCTTCTGTACACACACCACTTCTTTATTAACAAATACTCTTAACAATCTTATTACCAGGCCCACATCATAAACACCCCCATCACGCCCAGAGATCAGTAAGTCATCAAGCTTTGCCTGATCAAGCATACCCCCAATCAATCTCTCAAGTCCAACTATACAGTCTCTACTCAGCCTGAAACCAGACACAAGCCCCAATACCCAGAAGAGGTTCCTGTACGAAAACGCATTGTGCCCAATTGAAATCACCCCATGAACAGCTGTGCCTGCAAGGCCACTGTATTCACTTACTGAGTTCATTTCAGATTCCGCGCAACATTTGCTTTGAACTCTTCTTTTCAGGTAATGGAGGAGAAACCTCGTAAGGATTAAGCTGTTGTTATCGGTCCCATAAGCCCCCAGATTCTTTATCACTTTTTCAACAATTTTCGGGGGAAGCTTTGACATGTCATCGAACCACCATTTGTTGCTTGATTTATAGGGTTTCATTACCGTGTTCTTGCAGGAGGAAGATACCATAAACCCATGAGCAGAAGTGGTTTCAGAGGAAGATGATGATGAAGATGGGGAAGCAGCAGACAAGTTTCCGTTTGAATTCTGAGCAATTTTCGCTAACAGAGCACATACTAACTTTTCCACAAGACCGCACGAATCTGCATATTCGAAAAACGATTCACAACTCTTCAAGCTCACAATCACATCATTCCACGACCAATAAAACATCCCTTCGAGAAATATTTGTGTCTGTTGCAGGAGATTGAAAGTTGACATCTTCTCAGTCATACCCAGATAAACTGCGCAGCAATGAAGAACCGAAATATTCGAAACTGTGATATTGATTCTGCCATTGTTGTAACAGAATCTTGCAACAAGCTCAAACCCATCTGGGCCTCCCGGATAATCATCGATTTCAATACCCGAACTCTTGATCTGGGTTCTTCTCTTAGCTTGCTTCACCATCTTCTTCAACCTTGTTGAATACGAAGATATTATCCGCTGGAGAAAACGATTAAACAAATCAAATGATATAAACTAAGAGATGAACAGTCACTAGGAAGGGGTTTTAGACTATATTACCTCCTGAACGAAGAATGTGTATTGGCCATTAACATGAACTGGAAGATCACAGTGCTGAGTCATGTCTGCTTCGCATTGAATTCTGTGTTTTGGGTATGGAGGAAATGGAGAGTGGTGAGAAATGAATGAATGCTGGAAGTAGAGAAATGAGAAAAAGCATCTTGATTTTATACAGTTGATAATCCTACTGCAAGTTGAAGTTTTTATTACTGTAAACAAAATGGTATTAAAAAAGAAAATTGAAATTAAAATTAGCAGTGAGTCCACCAGTGACAAGTTGTTGTATAAGAAAATGGTCCGGTGAGTTGAAGTGTCTGTTATGGCGCAAATCCACAACTTTCATCGACTCACTCACGAGTCAATAATTTTGCTCCAACAAACAATGTTTTTTTAATAAATTAAAATTTCATCGACCCTCACTCTCTCTTCATTTTATTGGGGCAATAAGTGTTTTTAATAAAAATTTATAACTTTCACCTAATTTACGACACACTTAATTTAATTTTTTAACAAAATATATATAAAGCATATAATTTATAACTCCAACCTACATATAATTTATAATTTATAATTTATTTTAAATTGATTCTTTTCAATTTGAATATAAGAATTTATTTTTTTGTAATTTTTTATTAATATTTAATTAAAAATTAAAAAAAAAAAATTATATTTATTTTAATAGTCCAGATTTCTCTTAGTTTATTGTGGATCCGGTCTAGTATCAAAATAATAAACACTTCTAATTATTGAAAAAATTAAATCAAAATTATGAAGTATTTATAAAATAAAATAAGTTTCTACTATTTAATTAGATAAAAAGTAACGATTGAAGGCTGAAAATTTAATGATAATTTCTTAACTTAAAATTTTTTAAAGTAAAATTTAAATGAACATTCTTGAGAAATAAATACATTAACTTTACGGATACTTATCTATAAAGAATTAATAGACGATCAAAGTTTATATTAATATTTTATATCTTCTAATGTACCAACGTATCATATTAGATAAATAATAATTAATTATTTAAACGAATTTTGTTCTAATAATTATTTGACTTATTCCTATTAGAGATAAAATTTTAATTCTTATCACAAGGTTAATATATATTACTAAAAAAATCAAATATTCTGCTATAAATAAATAAAGAAATGATAAAATAGATCTAAATAGATAATAGATATTGTCTTTATTTTCGTTTTATGGATCAAATAATTTTAATTTGTTTTTGTCTGCAATAAAAGAATTAATATATATGAGAGGCGAAAATTGTTACACACAGAAAATTCATGTATTTAGATACAACGAATTGGAATGAAAACATATATATATATATATATATTTTGTCTGGTGTAGGAGACATGGTCTGCAAGTCAACAATCAGTGGGGTGTTCATTATATATATTCGCTTGTCATATATATCATCTATATATATATATATGTCTATGCAATTTGGTTATATGTGTAGGTTACGTGATAAAATTTTGGGACATGTGACGAACTGGGCCCCAGCATGCGTAATTTACTCGTGATCAACTCATGACTCTGCTCAACAGTTCAAGGCATCAACTGGTGCATAAATTAATCAATATATAGAGCCTGGAGTATAGAGATTTAGGGTTGAATGATTCTTGAAATAAGATTCTATTTAAGAACTAAAAAATAAAAAAATAAAAAAATTATTGGTTTAGTTTTTTTATTATAAATTTTTTTATCTAACTTACTCGAATTTAAAAATACTAAAGAAGTCTAACAAATATTTATAAAAGAACTAGAGACAGTAATAAAAATTAGAAGAACCAAATTGTTCTAAACTCAAAAAATTATAAAAAAATAAGGTCCAATTATAGTGAGACAATTAGATGAAACTATGCTCTAAAACATAAATGATACCACTGCTAATGACCAAACCAAAGCCAAAAAAATGACCAAGGTAGGAAGTTACAACCATAAGTAATACTTGGGGAAAATAAGGTAAATAAAGCTTGATAACCCTTTAATGAGACAATTTATCACCATGTACCCATAGAAACCTAACTAAAAGTTTAAAAAAAAAAAAAAGAAAAAAAATTAATAGTGGTTGAGAAGAGACTCAAGAATAATGTCAGTATAAACATGAATTTCATACTAGCCACCTCTTGATTATTATAATAACTAAACGAATTATAACATCTTGAACATCACTTGAGTCTTTTGACAAAAAATACTTTTTAAATTAATACAACAAAGGTAGAGTAAGTACATAAAACTCAATCAATAAACAAACGATAAATCCATACATGAAATCAAACCAACTTCCATGTATGATCCTTATAACATCTAAACGAACTCATTTCTATATTACTTTTTCTCACCACTAATTTACCATTTTCCTTACTCTTTTTACCTTTTTCATATGCTAAACTAAATTTTTTTCAACTAGTTCCCGAACCTGTAAACTAGATTGAATTGTTTTTTCATCATCTTTTAAATTGAGATAACTTTTCACCTTCTTCTCTCAAGCTGATGAGATAACTTTTCACCTTCTTCTCTCTAGCTAACGTGTTTTCTGCCTGAATAAACAATTTTTCTTCATCATTCCGACAGCAATGACAACGATTGGAAGAGATTGCCATGTACCATTTAGTGTACATAAATAAAGGATTGTAAAATGAGATAATCATGTCATTTTTATTGAAATGAACCTTAAATGGATTTGTCCCCTACCTATCTCGATCTCAATCTCTCTCTTTTCTCTGTTATCTCCTCTCTTTATATATATTTCTCTCTTTTTCTCCCTCTACAGTCTCTTTCTCTCTTTAAAAGATATATTATCTCTTTAAAATATCATTTCTTTCTCTCTCTAAATTTTTTCTCTCTCCCTCAATAATTCTTTTTTTTCTCTCTCCTCGATTCTCACTCTTCAAAAACCTTCTTTTTTAACAAAAAATCTTCTGTTACCCTTTCTATTTATTTAAATTCAAATTTGCCCTCATCTATTCCTTTATTTCTAGAATCTTCCCATCTTTTTTCTCTAAATTTCTTTTCTTCCACTTCTATTTCTTTATTTCCAGAATCTTTACGCTTTAGCATATGATCAAAACTCTATTAATTTGGGCATAATAGTCATTTTAAATATCTATATAATTAACTTCTTTATATTTTAAATCATTAATAATTTTTCCATTTTAAATTTTTACCATGTTTTATTTTATTAAATTTAGTATTTTTTTATTTAATTTAAATTTAGCATTTGGTATTTATTTTATTTTATTTAAATTTAATATTTGTTTTTTTAAAATATTTAACTTTGATTTTATTTTTAATTTATAATTATGAATTTTCAAAAGGGTAAAATATAATAGGTATTTGTTTAATTAAAATTTTCAATTATGATCTTATCTTTTAAGTTTTATTTTTGAATTTCAAATAAAATAAGAGTCAGAAAAGAGAGAAAATAAAGAAAAAGAAAAAAAAAAGAAAAAAATAAAAAGAGGATAAGCCCTATACCTACCCCCATGGCTTAGAGGTCCTGAAGACATCCATCCCTCACCACCTCACCACCTCACCACCTTTACTCTTCTTTCTCGGATGCTTTCCATGTGGTGCACATCCAAACCTTCTCCATGCCTATTTAAAGGCTCTCTTTTTCCTCATTTCTCACACTTTATTTCTTCTTTCATTTTCACTTTCAATAGAGAAATTTTAGAGTGAGAAAGAGAGAGTTTTAGAGAGAGAAAAAAGCAGTAAAGAAGGAGAAAAAGTAGGAGTTTAAGGAGCTTGACTAAGGAATGCTAGAAGTTCTTTTCTTCCCTTCCAAAAGACTAAATTGGCACAGTTATGGTAAGAGATTCTTTATTATTTTTATCTACATTTTTAAGTGCTCTTTTTAGTTAATTAATTTGGTGAAAATGAATATTTATTAAAATGGATTTTTATGCTCGTTTAATAATTTATTTTTGATAATAGTCTGAAGGCTCATATTTGGCCCAAAGACTCATTTCACGTATCCAGCTTGAAGGCTCATTTCACGTATCTGGTCTGAAGACCAATTTTACCCGGACTTAACCTTTGGGTCATCCTTTTGAACCAAGGTCTATTAAAATAACCCTATTTACCATTACCCAGGTAAAGCGAAGGGCTAAACCCTCATGCAATTTCAATAATCATATTTTCATGCAGTATGTTCAATATTTCTATGGTTAACAATGATCAATCACTCTAGAGACTTATACATCAAACTAACCTGTTCAATAATACCAAACATCAATCCTTGTAGGAATTCACGCATCATAGTCAAACGGCACACTATCATGTATCATACCTCATATCCAGAACCTGATGGAGGTTCAATTACATATACGGCCAAAGGCCCATTTTACACGGATTTGACCATCAGAATATTCTTTAAAGTTGAGCTCTTTAGAACAACCTTTTTTGCCATTACCTATTATAAGATAAAGGGTCAATTCCACATGTATCTCAAATCGTCATTTTAACACATTTATCATAAATGATTATAAAACATAAATCACTAAACAAGCATAGAAATTCATTTCAATAAATATCCAATTTCACCTAATTAATTAACTAAAAAGAGCACTTAGAAATATAGATGAAAATACTAAAGAATCCCTTATCGTAATTGAGTCGACTTATTCTTTTGAAAGTAGAGGAAAAGGCTTCTAGAAATTCCTTGAAAAAGCTTGCAAAACTCCTCCTTTTGCTCCTTCTTTCTTGCTTCTTTCTCTCTCTAAAATTTTCTCTTTCTCACTCTAAAATATCTCTACAGAAAGTAAAAATGGAAGAAGAAATCAAGTGTGGGAAATGAGGAAAAAGAGAGCCTTTAAATAGGCATGGACAAGGCTTAGATGTGCACCACATGGCAAGCATCCAAAAAGCAAGAGTGGTGGTGATGAGATGCGTGAGGGGTGGGTCTCCGTGGGACCCATGCGGTATGGGGGGAGCATGGGGGCGGGTATAGGGCTTTTGCTCTTTTTTGGTTTTCCTTTCTTTTCTATCTTTTCTTTCTTTTCTCTCTTTTTCATCTCTTATTTTTGAAATTCAAAAGTATAATTTAAAGATAAGATCATAATTGAAAATTTTAATCAAACAAATACCTATTTTATTTTACCTTTTTGATAACTCATAATTATAAATTAAAGATAAAATCAAATTTAAATATTTTAAACAACCAAATTCTAATTTAATAAAATAAAACATGATAAAAATTAAAATGCAAAAGTATTAATAATTTAACATACAGAGAAATTTATTATCGATAGAAATTTAAAATGGTTATTATGTCCAAATTAATAGAATTTGACCATATGCTAAAGCATAAATATTCAAGGTGTTATATTCTCTCCGCATTTAAAAATTTATCCTCCAAATTTGAAAATTTTTTTAAAACAATTCAGGAAAATAGTCACACATTTCTTCTTTTCTAACACACCTAAGGTATAACTGATAGGACGGTATCTTCTGAAATTCATACATCCAAATTATTTCATTTACTCTTTAACTTTCGAGAATTAGTATGGGATTCTGTGAAATATGTTCCCTTTTTATTCTCTAATTACACCAATATACGCATTGTCTTTAAAGTTTTAGAATTCAAAACTATGTTTAGTATGGTAATTTTCTGACCTCAAAAATATTATCTATGGACTTGATATGATAATCTATATTAGGAATTCTTAGGGAGTCATTTCTTACTGATGATTGTTAGGGGTCCTTGATCAGAGGGTCAAATAATAACCTTATTAAGGTTGATTATATTCTCTACCTATTGATGATGGTGTATTTTATATGCAATCAGGATCGTTTTTAGTTTAGTTTTTGTTGGTTGAGTAATTTTCATTCGTCTTTCATTTAATTTTAGGTTATTTAGTCACTTTAGTTTATTTTATGAATTTAGATGATTTTAGGAGAATTTGAAAAATTTTGGACGAAGGCACGAAAATGATAGACACTTGAACTAGCAAATGCATGCTTATATAGGTGGTGATGCACACCAGTCCTGGAGTCTCTCTCGACACAAAATTTTGAAGACAAAATACGTATGGGCAAACACATGGTCATGCAGATGGTCATGCAGGAAAGACATAATTTTTAAGTTTCCTTAACGGCTTAGGATACTTTATTCTCTTTCCTATTTCACCTAGGATTTCTATTTAGAAAATTTTGCTATTTACTCTAGTATATTAGGACATATTATAGTATTTTAGTAATACTCTTTTATTTTAGAGATTGTTCTAAGTTAGGGTTTTTCTTCTTCTTCCTGAAAGACTCAAAACTCCATTGAAGAGGAGATCAAGCTCAAGATGAAGACACAATCCCGAGTTTGATTTTATTTTACTATGTTTTTTTTTTTAGTTTCAATTTTTATTTTCTCAATTTAATTATGAAGTAGATTTCTTTTGTTAGGGAAAACATGAACCCAAAACTATGATTGGTATTGATTTTGATTAATGATATATGAGTTATTTTTATGCAAAATCATTTAGTTAAATGCTTATATGGATATTTTGTTGATTGAATTCCTTAATGATGTGTCGAATAGAGAAGTTAGGGTTTTCAATTGATGGAATTTCAATGCATGATTATTAATATTTTGCATAACATGTTTAATAACAAATTTGTTCGAATAGATAATTTAAAATTGACTTGTGGCATGTATTTGTGTTCCTGAATAAGGTTGAATAATTGGGTTGATTATATGCATATTTTTATGAAAGTGTCTGAATAAGAGTTTCATTTAAATTTGAAAAGTTACGTCCCTTAATAAGGTTAATTAGCCTTTAGAATTAACCCGCCAATTTTAACTAAGAATTCATTATTAAAATTGATATCTAGGCAAGTTAAAGGGGATTGTGGACCCTAACGTTGTTTTATTGATTGATTTATCTTTGATTTACTGTGGTTATTTAAGTTTCTGCAATTTTATTTAGTTTGATATTTTACTTTAATCCACTCTCATTCAATTATTACTTCTCAAATAACAGCTTTCAGTATAATAATTGATTTATAAAATTTGATCTTTGTGGGACTATTTTTGGATTTATATATATATATATATATATATATATATATTAGTGATAAGATTAGTGCACTTGCTAGTATTGTCTAAGATGCATCAATTTTTTCCCGTCATTGTCAGGGACCAAAGATTTATTTTACTAGTGTATGACCAGAAATTCTGAGGATCAATTAACAGAATCTGATCCAGAACCTAAACGAACTTTTCATTTAAGAAAAAGAGCAAGCTGTAAACTCAACATGACAGGAAATCAAAACAATGTTTTTGAAGGAGGTGAGAACAATAATGGTGCTCGAGGTGCTCAACCTATTCGCACCATGAGAGACTATGCCATGCCATTATTGGAAGGCATAAGTCCGAGCATTTTAAGACCTGTTGTTCAAGTTAACAACTTTAAGATCAAGCCAACAATACTATAGTTGATCCAATATACTTGCCAATTTGGAGGATTTTCTAGTGAAGATCCACACCAACACATAACTAGTTTCCTCCAAATTTGTGATACTTTTAAGTATAATGGAGTTTCTGAAGATGTAAAGAGGCTAAGACTTTTTTCTTTCTCTTTAAGGGATAAAGTACAACATTGGCTACAATCACTACCACTAAACTCCATAACTACTTGGAATACATTGGCACAAAAAAATCCTTAGTAGGTATTTTTTGCACAATTAATTAATGAGGTTGCTAAATTTTTGCAAGGAGATTTAGAGACCCTATATGAGGCATGGGAGAGATACAAGGATATGCTAAGAAGATGTCCTCAAGAGGAATTCTTTATTAGGCAGAAAGTACAAACCTCCTACAATGGAATTAATAGCCAAGTCAGAAGCATGATAAACGCTTCATGTGGAGGTTCACTTTATGTGAAGTCACTTGAAAAAGCTTATGAATTGATAAAAGAGATGACTGCCAATCCAAGTGAATGGTCTACTGAAAAAAGATAGCTAGAATTTATAATATTCTTTACAGCATTAACAGCTCAAATGGAAGCATTGAATAAGAATCTATAAGGGATTCAATTGCAAAAATCAGCTATAGTGGCAGCCGTAGGTGATTCGTGTGGAGGAGGGCACTCAAATCATGAGTGCCTAGTAGGTAATACATTTGTCGCTAATAATGTGCTTGAACAAGCTAACTTTCTTAATAATGTTCGCAGGTAAAATGATCCTTTCAATGATACTAACAATCTTGGCTGGAGAAATCACCCAATTTTTTTATGGAACAACAATAATAATCTAGGGAGACAACCACCACCAGGATTCCAACCGCAACAACATCCTCAACCACAAGAGAGGAAATCTAACTTGGAAGAGTTGATGACAAGGTTCATTAACTCTATTGAAGCAAGGTTACAAAATCATGAGGCTTTTACGAAGAATCTAGAGACATAAATTGGATAACTTATTAATGCTATTATGGGTCGAATTCAAGGGTCATTACCAAGTAACTCAGAGACTAATCCAAAGGAGCATGTCACGACCATTGCACTAAGAGATGGGAAGGTGTTAGAGGAGCCAAAGCAAAAGGGAAGAGCTGATATGGTGATTCAATCAAACTTAGTTGAGCTAAGTGTGAAAGAGCAAGGTAAGGAAAATACTAACCCTACAATTCTCAATTAAAACTCTAGTGTAGATGTTAATAAGTTTCCTTACCCATATAGAATTAGAAAAGATAAGAATGATGCTAAGTTTACTAGATTTTTAGAGGATTTTAAGAAATTACATATTAACATTCCATTTGTTGAGGATTTGATGCAGATGCCACAATATGCAAAATTTCTTAAGGATATCCTTTCTAATAGGAGAATGATTAAGGAATATGGCACAGTAAGGCTTATTAAAGAGTGTAGTGTCATTATACAAAATAAGTTGCCTATAAAGCTTAAGGATCTAGGGAGTTTTTTTGTACCTTGTGAACTAGGAAATTTTAAATTTAGAGATGCATTATGTGATTTGGGTTCTAGTATTAACCTAATACCATTATCTGTTTGTAAGAGACTCAACCTTGGGGAGATGAAGGAGACACACATGGTTCTGTAGTTTACAGATATATCAACTAAAAGACCTATGGGAGTCATTGGAGATATTTTGGTAAAAGTAGGAGAGCTTATTTTCTCTATAGATTTTATTATACTTGATATGGATGTTGAGTATGAATTATCATTGATTCTAGGTAGACAATTCTCAGCCGCAGCTACAGCATTAATAGATGTAAAAAATAGTAAATTAACCCTTAGGTTCAATGAGGAGGAGATAGTCTTTGATTTAAAAAAGATAATGACAAATCTTTCTATTAATTTGGATGATATGTGTTGTGCAATTGATATTATTGATGAGTGTGTAGATGAAAAACAACAAGCCATTCTAATAGAGGATAATTTAGAGAGATGTTTCATGTTATCAAGCACAATTGAAGAGGAGGATCCTAACTTTAAAAAGGAAGTGATAGAGTTTAAAGGTGAATCTTCATCAAACGTTATGCTAAGAATAAAGGAGGAGCCACATGTGGAGACAAAAAAAAATGGAGCTTAAGCCATATTTTGTAGGACGGTTCAACCTGACAACTGAAGCCTTCAAATTGAGAAATTGAGCTCTAAAAGAAAGTCAAGCTAACGACTATAACTTAGAACTACTTCTCTACCCTTATATTTAATAATGTTTTTTCTTAGTTTTTAAGTTTTTAGGAGTAGTTATTCGTCGTTTTCAATATATTTTGTATTTTGTCAATCATGAGTGTTATGTTGTGGTTTAAACATGAGGTTGCTTCTTGGATTTGCCTCATGGGATATTCTAAGTAAGTTTTTCTCACTTGGTAGGATTTTGGAGGTGTTAGACATGACAAACATCAGGGGGCAACAAGTTGCATGAGCATCTGCATGGTCATGCAGTCACTCAGGCACATTCAGACTTAACCAAGAAAGGGGGATAGCAAGGTGCATGACCATCTGTATGGTCATACATATGGTTAAAAAAAATTATTTTTGGGGCAACAAATGGCATGGGCAGCTGCATGCCCAAACAGTTGAGAAAAAAATTATTATTAGAAAAAAACAAAAAAATTAAATGAAAACTCAGCTACCTCTTTTTCATCTATTTCTCTTGAATAAATCTTGGCTTCAATTGAAATGTTAACTATTAATGCAAATGCTAAGTTTGAAGAACTTTTAGGTATCATCCATAGCCATGGTGATCGTCTGGATAGAACTGAGCAACGATTGGATGATTCCATATCAGAGGAAAACCGAGAACATTCTTTCCAATCACATTAGTAGAGATTACAAGTATCTTGTCCTCAGAAAACAAATTTTAGGGAGTATTCTACACTTTTATATTTCAATCTTTATCATCTCCTTTGATTATTCTTTTTAACATTAAGGATAATGCTTATTTTAAAAGTGTGGGGTGGGGTAATTGAAAATTTTGTAAATCCATACATATTTAGCATTTTACTTGTCAAACTTGAGTTTGTTGCTGAATTGTTGAACTTATGTGTTGGAGAACTATGATGTGATAGTTAAAATCCTTTATTTCAATCTTGTAGGTCTAGTACATTCCATGGACTTTATTTTTATTCTAAGTGACTTAAATTTTCTGAAAGCTTTTAAATATATTGTATTATATTGATATAGTGATTAATCTTGTGAATGTTGTAAGTTATATTAGTTCTACTTTTTACTAACTTTTATGTTCCTTATACTTTCATAGTTGTCCCTATTTTCTCCAAAAAAAAGAGGAAAAAAAAAGAGGCACCATAACAACTTACTCGCTGATCACTCAATTTCACACCACTAAATGGCATAACTTAGTAGTTTGGCACTATGTTAGCTTAACCAGAAGTCTCAAGTTTGAGCCCTGGGAATGTAACTACCTTTTGTAGGGAGAGCTTACTTCTTAGTGGACCAATTTGGCTAAAAAATAAAATGATGATTACGAGTAGAACTAGTAGCAAAAAAAAAAAAACTTACTCCACTGATCACTCAATTTTACACCACCAAGTGGCATAGGTTAGCAATCTAGCGCTATGTTAGCTTAACTAGAGGTCTTAAGTTTGAGCCCTAGAAATACAGCTTCCTTTGGTAGGGAGGGCTTACTCCTTAATGGACTGATTTGGCCGAAAAAGAAAATGGTGGCTAAGAGTAGAGCTAGTAGCCAACTAGAGTTATGACTAACTGAGTAATTGGGTGTTGGGATCACCAATGTCTACCCTCGCATCAAAAGGTTAGATGAACTCCAGGCAAGCCAATAAGGTGCTAAATATATATATAATCAAAATAAATAAAAAGGGTCAATTTTGGAGATTATAGGGCATTATTGTTAATGATTTGTAATTCTTATATGCTTATGGATGTATGAGGCTTTTCTTTTATGTTCATATAATTTTTTCATTCTCTAGCTTTCATTTAATTGAGTTTCTACGGAATTTTGTTGATTGATGTTGAGTATGAGACCTATGTTATTGAATTTAAGAGTTTAATTATTGTGTTAAGATGATTCTTCATTTTGGTTTAATTTTAACTTTACTCAAGGATGAACATAGAGCTAAGTGTAAGGTGTTTGATAATGGTGTATTTTATATGTAATCAAAATTATTTTTAATTTAGTTTTTGTTGGTTTTGAGTAATTTTCATTAGTCTTTCATTTAATTTTAGGTTATTTAGTCACTCTACTTTATTTTATGAATTTTAAGTGATTCTGGGAGAATTTGAAAAGTTTTGGATAAAGGTATGAAAATGGCAGAAACCTGCACTAGTAGATGCATGCTCATACAAGTGGTGATGCACATCAGTTTTGGAGTCTCCCTCTACACAAAATTTTGAAGACAGAAATCTGCATGGGCAAGCGCATGGTCATGTAAGAAAAGCATAAATTTTAAGTTTCCTAAATAGCTTAGGATGCTTTATTCTCTTTCCTATTTTACCTAGGATTTGTATTTAAGAAATTTTTTTATTTAGCCCAGTATATTTAAGACATATTATTGGTATTCTATCATCACTTTTTTATTTAAGAGATTGTTCTAAGTTAAGGTTTTTCTTATACTTCCTAGAAGACTCAAAACTCTATTGGAGAAGAGATCAAGCTCAAGACGAAGACACAATCCGAGTTTGATTTTATTTTACTATGTTTCCTTTTAGTTTCAGTTTTTGTTTTCTCGATTTAATTATGGAGTAAATTTTTTTTGTTTAGGAAAACATGAACCCTAAACTATGATGGGTATTGATTTTGATTAATGATATATGAGTTAGTTTTATGCAAAGTCATTAAGTTTAATGCTTGTATGGATATTTTATTGATTAAATTCCTTAATGATGTGTCAAATAGAAAAGATAGGGTTTTCAATTGATGGGATTTCAATGTATGATTATTAGGGTTTTACATAACAGGTTTAATAACATATTTGATTATATGCAGATTTTTATGAAAGTGTCAGAATAAGAGTTTCATTTAAATTCAAAATGTTATGTCCCTGAATAAGATTAACCATACTTTAGAATTAACCTGCCAATATTAACTCAGAATTCATTATCAAAATTGATATGTAGGAAATTTTAGGGGGATTATGGACCCTAACATTGTTTTATTAATTGATTTATCTTTGATTTACTATGATTATTTAAGTTTTTGCAATTTTATTTAGTTTGATATTTTACTTTAATCCACTCTCATTCAATTATTACTTCTTAAATAACAGTTTTTGGTATAATTATTTATTTATAAAATTTGGTCTTCATGGGACGATATTTCGATTCACGTATCTATATTACTGATACGACTAGTGTACTTGTTACTGTTGTTTAGGATGCATCACCTATTTCAAGCCTTCTAGGGCTAAGTACTACATCATTTTCCTCCCAAGGCTTCGAGTGACTTATCCTTAGGCATGGTCCTATATTTCGTAAGTTTGTCGTATTACTATTTTGTTCTTATCAATTTGAAGAAGCATTCTTTATGCATTTAATTGTGATTGTGTCTTAGTTTTAATTGTGTTTACGTAGAGAATCTGTCTTGATTTATTTATATAACATGTCATTCTAACTTGGGAGTAAGGAAATGATATTACAGGTTGTCACACCAAGGGCCTTATTGTTAGAAAATATGGCTAGGAATACTCTTATTAAATATTTAAATAAGGTCCTTTTGTAGAGAATCCTAGTCAGGTATTCTATTTTCTTTAGAAGTTTGGTTATGAGTTGGGAACAGATCGTTATGGCTAATGACTGCTGAACATTTAGGGTTAATTTAGATTACTGAATTTGTTAATAATAGCACTTGTGTTTTAGAAATTTTATTTTTAGGGAGATCGGTTTATGGTATCCTAATAATTGATTTTTTAGGATGTTGGATCTAAAATTGTATTCTTTCTTTTATTATTACATATATATATACATTTTTTTTATTAATCATTGTTGAATAAATCTCAAACATATTGTTTTAATGCTTAGGAAAAATTTAAGGTCTTTCTTAAATGAGAAAATGAGGATGCTTTCAAAGTGGTCATCTCTTTTCTGTCTCCTAGGTTGGTTACTTTTCTTCTAAATACTCCCAAACTATGGTTCATTCACCAAGACTTATATTCCAATTCAAAACTTAAGTGGTCTGACTGTAACCTATTATAAAACTTTCTATTTTATTTTACATAGTCCTTATGCAAGGTGCTATATTACTCTCACAACTTGTCAAAGTCTGGGTGACTCCCAAAATCTCAATCATTGATCGAATTCCACTAGGGTATCTAAGTACAAAATTCCTTATTATTAAGATTTATTAGGTTCCTTCAATAATAGGGTCCATCAAAGGTCTTGCTAAGATCGACTACACTTGGCAATTGCTTCCATCTCCCTAGTTAGGACCAAAACAGGAAAAAAAAAATTCTATTTGTAGAATTCAAGCTTCTGTGACCAAGGGATTTGGTCCACTATCAAAGGGTTTAATCTTCGATCCTCATAGATGTTTTATGAAATGGTTCTGTCTACATGACGAAAATCATTAGTAAAGGGTGGTTGGTTTCAGTTATGACCTACAACAGTGGTCAAACCCTGGGTGGCTCAGAATAACTCAGTAAACTCGGCCCTGGTCAGGACGTTTTGGGCCTTAGGATGTTTTATAGATGGTTTCCCTCGAGTCATTAATCCTTTTAAAAGGCAGACAATAACTTCATGATTAGAAAGAAAAGGTCATTTCTAATTCTAAGAATTTTCTAAAGATTTATCTAAGTTTAAGCTATAAACCTTGGTGTAAGAAGTTTCCTAGAATCGAGCTCTG